CTCTGGAGTCCGAGCAACGAGTTGTGCTGTTTCAGCATTCTTCATCTCTGCTCCCTTTCCCTCCAAAGCTGGAAATGATTGCCTTGACAAGGTATTTGTTGTTGCCTGCAGTTGAGATCGGACCATGCCTAGCTCTCTTCTGCCCTCTGGTGGCTTTATCTGCTCATTCCTTGAAAAGCAACCAAAATATCCTCAGGATCCATTAAAAAGGCAAAGAGTGTTGATAAAACTTCAGAGACTAAATTTCTTCATTGCAGGCACTTCAGTGAAAAGTCTTATTTGGGAAGGCTGCCTATAGGTCAGGCTCACTCTTAGCCAAAGCCTCTGGAATGACATCTGCTTGACCATAGCCCGGTTGCTTATTTTTCAGGGGTGTGAGTGCATGTTTGTGTACGCACGCGCGCACACACATGCAATGCGTACTGCAATTCATAGAGTTTACCTTGAGGCCCAACTGCATTGTGGAAATGGGCAAAAACAAGGTTCTCAAAATCAGCAAAGAACAAATCATGTTCCTTCTCACAGCAGTTATCAAGTGGCAGCTGACTAGAGAAACATGAGGTTTAAACCCTAGTTTAAGAAAATCTGGCCTTGTTTATTCCAGACAAAATTAAATCCTTATGTGACCAGACTTGTTCTTGCAGCTTTCTAGCCACTTGTTTCCCTTTCATTGCGTTTGCTGAAAGTGATGCTGTTTAGGTGGCACACATGTAAATCTTTAAATATTAAATGTTACCTTTAATAAATACCCTAAAAATGAGATGCTGTGATCTTTTTAGACTACCATTCTTATTTATTTTAATATTTTTGTTACATTTCTATCCTGACCATTAGCCAAGATGACTCTCTAGGCAGGTTTATTATTGTTTTCTCTTCTTTTCTTCAGTCCTGCTGTGCTTTATTTCTAAACCTTCTGAAAATAGGTATCTTCTTTTTCTGTGTAGTCATTTGTAAACTGAGATATATTTTTACATTGTGTATATTTGTACGTGACATAATGATTTGCAATGACTGAACATTTTAAAATAACAGGTGAAAAATTGGAAAAATATAAGAATAAATCAAGCATCTTATAAAAAGGTATGATTCTCTGTAAGTTGAACAAACATTGTGGGTATGGCCACTTACTGAATAAGAGCAAATTGAAGTAAGAAGATTCCTCTCTGTGGAAATGTATCTTAAAATCTGGTAACTTGCACATCTGGGAAAAATCTACTTGATTCCTTTAACACAAGGTCTATCAAATTGTTTCAAAATGGTTGATTCAAGAGGATAGTTAATCACCAAAACTGAACTTTATAGAGCAGTGGTGGCGTACCTATGGCACGTGTGCCACAGCGGGAACACAGAGCCCTCTCTGTTGGCACACGAGCCAAGTTGCACCAGCATTACCCCAGCAGTTGAGCATCAGATAACAGCATACCTAAGGGCCATGTGCATGCTCGGAAAGGAGTAGTGGTGCCAGGTAATGATGTCATAAGCTGCGACTCATCCAAGCTTTCGCATGGCCGGTCAGTGCTCAGCCAAGGACATATATATATTTGCTTGGACTGGCTGAGTTTTCAGGTTTTATTGCAGTGTTGGCACTTTGCGATAAATAAGTGGGTTTTGGGTTGCAGTTTGGGCATTTAGTCTCTAAAAGGTTCACCATGACTGGGTTTAGAAAAATGAGGTGTCCTGGTATGATTTTGATGGTAGGAATGTGTTTAGAATGGGCAGAGATGTTGAGATGTGCAGAAAAAGCTACTCAAGGAAGGCTTTTTCAAAATCGCCCTCTTTTCTATGGAACTTAAGCCCTGTATTAGGGTTAGGGCTGTGCACCAGAGTAGCATTAGCGTTAGAAAAACGAGGTGTCATGGCATGATTTTGATGGTTGGAATGTGTTTAGAATGGGCAGAAGTGATGAGCTGTGCAGAAAAAGCTACTCAAGGAAGGCTTTTTTCAAAATCGTCCTATTTTCAATGGAATTTTACCCCTATATTAGGGTTAGGGATGTGCCCCAGGGCAGGGTTAGGGTTAGAAAAACGAGGTGTCCTGGCATGACTTCGATGGCTGGAATATGTTTAGAATGTGCAGAAATGTTGAGCTGTGCAGGAAAAGCTACTCAGAGAAGGCTTTTTCAAAATCACCCTCTTTTCACTGGAACTCTACCCCTACGTTAGGGTTAGGGGTATGCACCTGGGTAGGGTTAGGCCAGTGGTGGCGAGCCTATGGCACGTGTGCCACAGCAGGCATGCAAAGCCCTGTCAGCTTGCAAGCCAAGTCACCCCAGCATTGTCCCAACAGCCGAGCATCGGATAACAGCGCACATAGGCGCCATGCGCATGCTCAGAAAGGAGTAGCAGCGCCCGGAGATGACATCACAAGCCATGACTCCTTCACTGTGGTTCATTTGAGCTTTCGCATGGCTTTTCAGTGCGCTGCCAAGGATATGTATATATTTGTTTGGACTTGCTGTGAGGTTTTTTTGCTAAACTAAAATGTAAGTTTTCAGGTTTTATTGTAGTGTTGGCACTTTGCAATAAATAATTGGGTTTTGGGTTGCAGTTTGGGCACCTGGTCTCTAAGAGGTTCGCCATCAGTGTTATAGAGGTTCATAAAAAAAGGACATGTAATTAACTTTCCTGATATACAAACTTTATGGAGGTTTATCTGTGATACATTTAAATAGCAGTTCTATTTATATATGTTCATTTTTTTGGTCATAGTTACTTACAAATGTTTGTATGGTGTTGTTTTTAAAAAAGAAATACAGTTGGGACTATTATACTAAAGCGCATGAAGAAAGATTGAAGAGGCGCAACCCTAGGCTGTCCTAAGCAAGAAGCAGTCTTGCTCATGAACATCTTGAGTATTTTGTTTATCTTAATTTAAGTATCTGAGAGAATATTCTGTCCTCACACAGAATTTAGTAGACCATAATTGTTGTTGTTGTTAACCACAAGGGTAGGATATGACACATTATTCATCCCACAGATACTGTAGATGCAACCAACAGTGACCAACTTTCACTTGCAGGCCGTTTAATTTAGGAGAAAAGGGTTAGTAATTTAGGAAAGATCCAATAGTAGCCTATAAAATTATCCAGTTCTCCTATCTGTTCTTCCCCCATAGGAACCCAAGATCCACAGCCCAAAACGAATGGCAAAGGATGATACTTACAGTTAAATCCTAACCATGCCTATTCATAGGTAAGTCCCAGTTTGATGATTTCATTTTCAGGGCCAGAACTGAACCAAGCTCAGCGTTTTCATACAGAAGTCTGTTCATTGTTAAACCCCACCCCAACATTCGTCATCTCAACAGCACACTCAGGGCTGGGATGAGTTGCAACAGTTGGGATTCCAGTATGTCACAGTGGCGAATGTTGGGCTGGGGACCCAGGAGATCTAGCATTTAGTTCCCACTCAGCTTAATTTACCTCACAGGGTTGTTGCAAGGATAAAATGGAGCTATGTAAGCTTGTGGGTTCCTCACAAGAGGAAAAAGGTGAGTTATAAATTCAACGTAACAACAATATTAGAAAGTACTCAAAGATCTATCACTTGATCTTCAGGTGTAGAAAGCGTAGATAGATAAGGTCCTTCTGTCCCTATTTCATGACACTAGAACTTCAAGTTATCCAAAGAAACACGTTGAGGGTGACTTCTAGAAGTAAACACATTTCTTCACAAAGCACATATTGAATGTATGGAACATAGGTGATTTCCACAAGCCTAGATGCCTTTTTCAAGGGGATGACATCAGCTCACAGAGCATATACCAACCCTAGTGGCGTCTGGTCATGGTGGGCCTCCTTCTTTCCAGATCTGGCTATGCCACTGGGAGTTAGCTGCTGGGGAGCAGCAGCTCTGGCACGTTTACCAGTTTCCCATGAATAGGATGCTTAAACCACATGGACCACTAGTCCTCTCCAGGAAGTTTTATCTAACTTGCCCTAAATCAGCAGTGTTCACACGCCAAGGGCTAAATTTCATTTCCAAGTAGGTCTCAGGGGCTACATTCCAGTGGTAGGTAGTTCCAAAGACAAAAAAGGAAGAGCCAACATTGCAAAATACACAAGCCTGATTTAGCATAACACTCTTCCTGCCAGTAACTAAGGTGCAGAAGCATTTCAACCTTTTAGAACAGGGAAAAAGTGCACAAAAATCAGGAAAATTAAAATTCTACATCAGTGGCTGGGGAAAAAAGCATAAGATCTGGCAAGAGGTATGTGGGCGACTGGGGAATTCAACACACCTATCCTAAATGAATGGCTGTATGCCAGCCTGATTTACTTATTTTATCTTGATTCACCTTTGTATGTTCAAAACAGATGAATCAGAAGAAAAGCTAACACACTGCAAGATAAGTGAAAATGGCAACTTATGCAAGGCATGTTACTCCCAACTACTGAAATACAAGTTTGCTAAATAAAGTCAGTGACAAATTCAGCAGACAAAAACAAGAAGCAGAAGAACATAAAATATAAAGGTTTGTTTCAATGAAATCTACAGACCTCAGTTCTACCCACTAAACATGTATACAATTTCTGATAAAAATGTATTAAGTCTGGTAAAAAAATAAAAATAAAAACCACGTTCTTCTTTGAACCACGCAGTTTTACAAATTGATACAAAGTTTTACTGTCTGAAATGTTTTCACTATCAGAAAATTATTATTGGCAATGGACCAAAACTAAAATCTTGGATCGATCGATCTAAAACTTTTCTATACCTTCCCATCATAGACATCTCAGGATGGTTTGCAACAAATTAATAAAATAGAATAAAAATAGAAGCAAGAGATCTAAAATCTTCCACAAAGCTGAAGCTGAATTCTTGTCCAAGGGGCTCTGCTGTTTGCTGATGCTCCTTTCTAAAGCAGTGACCAGAAACTCTTTCTGCTGATATTTCTGTGTGCTAAAATGGGAACGGTACAGTACACAGTATAAATTACAAGTTGTAGAAGTTAATGGTGCACCACAAAGACTCACAGACACCATTCTGTTCTGACACAAGTTTACATCTCAAGCTGCCATTTATTTCACTTGTTTGTGGCCTATCATTAGGTAGTCACAAAGAAAAATCAGAAGGACAGAAAACAGTGTGCTCACTCTGAAAAAGCAGAATCACTCCATTTTACTCCTGAAAAACTGGTGCAGTGGAGGAAGAAATAGTGAAGTTTCTCTCCAAAATAAATAGCCTTGATTTCCCTTCATCATTCTGATATTTCTCCATTATACATCCTTAGTGCTCTTCACTAAACCGTAATTCATGTGATTCTTTTTGGCAACTCCATGGCAGAAGCAGTATCAATTTAACATAATTGATGTTATTGATGTTAAATTTCAAGTGTAAAGATATCCATGCATGGGCTGCTGCTTGCTATAAAACAGACTGGGGTTTTTACATTTTCCCAGTGTCTGAGCATGATGGAGGTACAATACATAAATCACTTCTGTATTTCAAGAACCAGTAGGTGCAATAACAGCATACTGCCTTTTTTACCCGATGCTTCTCACTCTGAAAAAATGGACCACCTGAACCTCCTGTCTAACAGTGGTTTGCTTGGAAGATTTGGAGTTGCTCCTTCATGCTGATAAGTACTGGCACTAGTGGATTCCCAGTTAATCATACTAAATGGCAGTGCTTTTTAATCAGATGCAGTGCAGTTTTGAGAACCTCTTCCCTAGAAGGACTGGCGTCAACTGGTTGACATGCAGGATTCTCCATCCTTCTGTAACATTCTTCAACCCTATCAAAAAAGAGCAGGTACAATGACAAAAATTACAGTGCATATGCAGAAGATATCAAAGGCAAAACTTCCAGTGCAGTCCTAACTCAGAAGTAATCTGAGAGCTTAGGAACTTCTGACCTCGTAAGTGTGCTATGCACCTGACTTGAGGACATCACCCTTGCCTCAATCTCAGGTTCCAGGATGGTTTGCTTCTCTGGTCCTCAGCTATGCAAGGGCATGAAACTGCTTAAATGACTGCAAGGCTACAGCTGGCATCCATTCGAGCACAGGTTCTTCAAGCTTTGGGCATGCCAGCTGCCGTAGGGGCCTCCACTGCCCTGGACCCTTGGTAGGGCAGCAGCTGTTGCTGTGAGGGAGCACTGCCATCGGTGGCCCCCACGCTTTCTGATCTAGGCTGGACCACTGGCTTTCAATACTTGCATGGGCTTCTGGCTTATGAGCTGGAAGCATTGCACCTCTCGCTGCACTGACCCTTCAGCTCGCAACACTAGACCACGTCATGATTTTAACACATACTTTTGCCGGAAAACGCTGTTGGTTTCGAGCTCGGCCTCCTCCCTCGTTCTCTCCAGCCCTCGTCCTTGCAGTCTTCGGATCCTTTCCTCCGCACTAATGCTGAGCAGCAAGACAATATCCGGTCTGAGAAGGTCTTCGGGCCAGTGGTACACTTGGTGATGAAGTGGAGGGAGGTTTTCCACTTTCCCACTCATTTCAGTGGCGATTGCATATGCAGCTGTGCTGTGCCAATACCTGTCAGGGTTCAGGGAGCAGTGTGAGAGTCGTGCCTAAGACATCTAATTCCATACTTCAAAAACACCCAAATTCTATTTCTGCATGTGAAATAGGTTGTCTATCAAAATGAGTACACAGCCCTTATGCTGATTTTCAAATGTTTTCAAGAGTTCCTTTCTCAAAGGAGTTTAAGGCAATAAACATGAGGTTACTCATTCCATCTTCATAAAATAAGTTACCAGCAGCCCCAGCCAACTCAGTCAATGTTCAGAGATTATGGACACTTAAGTCCAAAGCTTCTAGAGGGTGCCAAGTTGCCTACCTCTGCTTTACCTGGTACAAAGGCCTCGTTTTTTGTCAGGGAGAGAAATGTCCAACAGCAGCTTTCTTTTGCTTGTTTAGAGAAGTAGGTGAGAAAAGCTGTATATGGGACAATAATCATAAGGAACTACAGCAATGAGGGCTGGGACCAAAGAAGTTTTTGTGATGTATATATCTACACACACATACACACACACACACACACACACCCTGCTCTGCCTACTGAAAAAAAATTATTAGGACTTCCACTGCATTTAACAGAAACTGTCAGCAAGCTTCCACTTGTGTATTCTATCATGAGGACTAGAAATGTGGCTTTTCGAAAATAATTTAGCATTCCCCAGCTTCTAAGGAAGCCAATATAAGCTATGAGTTTAATCACCGTTAACAATGACACTTCCTTAGAGTTACATAAAAATAGCCAGGATTCGAGCAGCTCTGACATGCCAATCGGTGTTTTGCTTTTTTCTTTCTTCCTTTGTTCCTCTGAAGAACAGAGGCACATGGCGCTCAGGGAGGGTGTTTTTGCCTGCCTTTCAGCCAAGGCTCCTGATCCAAGCTGTTGCTTCTTATTCCCATCCAAGCCCAATGACGCTGGGGGCTGGAAAAAGGTGCAAGCCTTCGGCATGAGCGGAAGGCCAAGAGGAGACGCAAGGCAGGAGATGCAATGGGACACCAAAGGAGGCTAGATCTGGCCACATCAGTGCATGGTGCCATCAGCACGGAGTGCCCGTTCCCCTGTGGAGTGAATGTCCCGATCTGGGCTGCTGGATGTGGGCTCTCCTAGATGAGAGCAAGGCGGTCCAGAGCAGTGTGGGCGCTGGCTTTTGCCCCGAGCGCTAGTGAGAACTGAGCCTAAAGAGAGAGTGGCCTATGAATCTTAGGTGTTTTGTGGGTGGCTTTAAGATGGCACACTTGCGACGGTCCTAATTACAGAATACAGCACTCCTGGGAAGTATGTGTGGGGGCGGGTCTTTAGGGCATGCATGTGGATTATTTGTGTTGGGATGAGTCTGGAAAGCAAGAATGGGGGAAGGACAAAGAAGCTGCAGGCGGGGGTGGCATGGGGCAGGGAGAAAGATAAATCAGTAGTCCATGGGAGCTGGCCATCTCTTCTGCTGACATGCCTCTTAAATTACAGGCACCTGATGGCATGACCATTAGTCCCCCTGACCTGCTACAGCTTAATGCCTTATCTGTTCACAAGGACTCGTTCAACCATGATCAGATTATAAGTAAGGAATGGTTGCATGGTTGCTTTTGAACACCTTAGAACTTCTTTCGGTGCAGCTGGGAAGGCTGACACTGGAAAAAACCAACAACAGCAAACGTTAAGCCCCCTTGGGCATGAGGAACTAGGTACCCCACTCTCGGGATCCAGGCCAATTAATTCAGAGTAATATTCATGAAGAAAAAAGCAGTGAATGGCCATGTGTGCACATCTGAGCTTTGTAAAAGGCTTAAAAGCTTAACAAGGGTAAGCAGAACAAAAGTAACCTCACCCGGGTGATGGATAATATAATTACAAACCATTTCATGGTGTCTTCCTGTCTTTACTCTTTCCTGGAAATCAAAGAAACTAGCACGCACCTTAACTAACATGGATGACTACCAAGGGACTTGATCAGGATCCTCAATGCATCCCCCTCCCTGATCCCCAATAATGTACAAGACGTTCATTTTCACACACCTGTCTACAATCACTGGTGACTTCATGGATTCTTTGGCTATTTCAGAAGCAACAAGGTAGTTGCTCAGAGCATAAAATGCTCTCCGGATGAGGGTGGGCTCATCATCAAAAATCTTTCTCCACTGACTGACACAAGGTGGAGGAGTCCGCACAAGAGTGGCATTCAGTGAGTCCTTCAAAGCCTGAGTTACTGTTGTTTTGCCTGCATTGGGCATGAGAAGGAAAACATCGCAAGAGTTGACTGGGTTCAGAGGAAATTTTGTCAGCTGATAAATACCATAGATAAAAGTCCAGTGTGTGCGTGTGGAGGTTTACACTCCGGCATCACTAGGGGACAGGATATCAAGACAACACGTGTACAGCAGTTACTAGCTTTGGAAAGCCAAGAGCAACAGGGCTCCCGCAACTGCTGAGGCATTAGATGGCTACGGATGTGGTTGAGAAAAGGAAGCAGCGGGTACCCCGGGATGGAAGTAAATCTCCCCACAACACACACCTTCCCCAGTAGCGCTGCCTCACAGCAAGGAAGTGTGGAAATAGGAAATAATGACAAGGTGCTTCCTCAACTGTCCTGCGAGAAGAGTAAGTACAGGCAGTTCATGGGCTATGAAGCTCTGAGTTATGAGCAACATGTATTTATGAATGAACTGCCATAAAGCCTGCTAATTTTAAAAAATGAGTTAAAGGTCCACTGCAGAAAATCATCATCACCATAAACAGCGAGGAAGTGAAAGGGGAAAGAGGAAGATCTCCAAAACATCACCACAGAGAGAAGATGAAAGGGGAGAGAGGGAGGCCGCCAAAGCATCACCATCGAGAGAGAGGAAGCAAATGAGGAGAGAGGGGGGCCGCCAAAGCATCACCATAGAGAGAGGGGAAGCAAAAGGACAGAGAGGGAGGGCCTCCAAAGCATGCCTTCCTGCCCCATCCAGAGATGGAACTCTCTGATATTTCCTTGCTGCAAAGATGCAGGACTGATGAGTTTGGGCAGGCAAGGAACTAGAGATATTCGCAGTTTTTCTACTTCCACAAGTAGTCCTGCACTCCTAGCCCCTGTGAATGTGGAGGGCTGACTATATGTGATCCAATTTACATACAAATTCAACTTAAAGATGAATTTCTGTTTACTCAGGAAAAGAACTTATTCACAACCTGGGAACTGCCTGTAATTTGTCACATCATGATCTCTTCAGATAGGTCCCCACCCACACCTCCCATATAAATCATGCACATATTTGGCATCAGGAAAGTTCCAACTTTCTTGGAAGCTGGCAGGATGCCAGCCTGTTTTAGAAGCAAAAGAAAGAGCACTTCACTTGTTTACATAGAGATGAATGGTGTTGCTATAGAACTAGTATGCTGGTATTTTCTTATGTATAACCTTGCTTTGGTTCAAAGCCTTACCTGTTGCATCCAACCCCTCAACAACTATCACAGGAAAATCTCCCTTCTTCGGATGCTTCGGACACTTATCCACAACATCAAGCACTGCTTTGGCTTCAGGAATTAGAGAAGTGCACTGGAATGACAGTATACATTAATGCAGAAGCACCTAATGTTGAGTTTGGGTTTTGTTCGCCTGCAAGCCAGTACCTTACTAACTTCAGCCTGTCAGTGGTGCACATTTGGGCTGACCAGAAGGGAAGGAAGACAGCACTTTGCACCTTCAAATAGCACTGACTGGAGGAAATTCAGTTAGCGTTGCTTGCTAGGCGAGCTCTACCTGCTGAAATCCCTCTTCTCCAAAACTAGAAAAAGAGCCCTGCCTTCCCTTTTACGTGGCCGCCCGGAAACTACTTAAAGCAAAGGAATCCATCACAAAAGTGCGGTGGGCCTGAAAGGAGCTCTAAGTCATATGAGATGAGAAAGACTCACGTAGTGCTGGTCTTCCAGTGTTCTTTGGGATGCCTGAATCAGAATCCACCTGTCCTATGCAGCCCTTTCCCAGTGCACCCAGGCACATGTGTATTACCTGATACAGTGGCACTGTGGGTTAGGGAATGATGCAGAAGCCCAGGACTGGTCTTCTTGCTACAGTGCTTCTTGTTCTTCACCACCACCACTTGTTCCTTGTGTGTGCCCTCAAATCCATACACCTCCTCCATGAGCAATTAGTTTCATGAGGTAAGGTGGTGCTCGCTGATGGCACCAAGGGCCATCGTACTAGAATCCAGGGTTATCCAATGAAGCACAACTGTGGACGTTCACTGCAGGCAAGGAAGGTCCCCCCCCCCTCCACTCAGTGCACAGTGAAACTATGGGATTTTCTAACTATAAGAAGCTGCAATGGCTACCAATGCAGACGGCTTTAAAAGTAATGGAGAATGAAGCTATTGGTTTAATTTTGTAACCTGTCCAGGGAGCCTTATGGCTAAGGGGGTGGGATAAAAATCCAGTAAAAGTTATGTATGATTTAAGACAGTACAACTGCTGGAGAACTGAAGTAGAAAGGTATATCATGGGCATCAAGTCCTGCTTGTGGGCTTCCACGCTGTGGTTGGCTACACTGGGAAACAGGACACTGGGCAAGGCAAGCTTCTGGTCTGATTCTATAGTCAACCCACATGTCCTCCAAGGGGTGTGAACAGTGGCTGATTTCTACACTGGTGTGCCAAAAGCTCAACCCTTCTGTAAGGTAGATGCAACCAGAGGTCTACTGAGGATAACTCAGTGCAGTTTGCTCCTTCGTCCACCACTTCATCTTATAAGTGTGACCAAAGGGGAGTATGCACGGCTACATCAACCATCCAGCTTCTTCCCCACCTCTGATCCTGCTAAGCAGTTCTGGAGAACTAGCAACTTTCTCACCAGGTGTGACTTTTAGCTAGGGTCTAACAGGGGCATTGCTCGCCTGTAGATTTTGGAATGCTGCAGCCTAGAAACTCTGCAGACGCCTCCCATCTTCCCAGAGGGCTATGATGCCCGTCTTCATTTCGTACAGCGTGCATTCAGAAACCAGGGCTGAGCCATGAGCAGCATCGGGGCTAGGCCCTGCTCCAGGAAGGCCCCAGCTGTGCGAGCTGGCCGCTAGGAGAACACTAACCTCCTCCAGCACCTCGCGAGCGGCTCCGAGCGAGCTGAACAAAGCGGTGCCGAAAAGGTGAAAAGCGGCTGGATGGAGCTGAGGCCCTTCAGCGGCCACAACGCGCCTTCTTTCCAGCAGCTCCTTCCCCTCTGCCGCCTTCAGGCCCCACAGCGCCCGCCACACCTCGCCGTCTTCAGCCTCCTCGTACACAGACAGAAGGGCAGGCGCCGGCAGCAGGAGACGCAGCAGTTCCTCCAGGGAGCGCTCGGTTTCCGGGGAGCGCTGCTTGCTTTGAACGAGGAAGCCGCTTTCCAGCACGGGCTCTTGCGCACTGTAGGAGAGGAGGGCCAGGACTCTGCTCCGAGCCCCGAAAGGCTCCTGGCTGAGTCTCTGCTGCAAGGTTCTGTGCAGTCTGGCAGCCCGGATCCGATCTCGGGGACTCGGCGCGGCTGGTATGCAGAAGGAATAGCATCTCCCCGGGCGAGGCACGAAGCACTGGGGACGCGCCCCGTCGATTAGTGGGCGCTCACTGTTGCTGCGCAAGGTGAAATACACCAGCTCCGAGCTTGCAGATTCCACCACGAAGCAGCGCTCGGACGAGCCGGTCCGGATTGGAAGCGCCGCCATCGCAAGCCTGGATCTGAGTAGCAGCGAGGCGTATTTTACCACTAGAAAACCGTGGCGAATTGAAACCTGTAGCGCTGGGAGAAGCATGGGAAACGAAAATGATCGCGCGGCTGGGCGAGGTTTAAGTCATGCGCTTGCGGACGCTGTCCAGTTATCTCTTGGGACAACAGGCGCTGTTGCGATTAGCTTCCCTGTTTCATTTTACCAAAGAAACGAAAGTGTTCCGTCATGAAGGAAGCAATTTGTGTTGTAAGGCAAAGGCTCAGAAAGTGGAGTGTGTCCCCTCCAAGGACGTTTGCCAAAGCAAAGAAAAACAAAACGCTGAAAAGGAAAACAAAACGCTGAAGATACAAAGGAAACTGACACACTAATCAGAAGAGCCCACAGGGATTACTGGCTTAATTTCTTGCAGCGCGTGCGCGCACACCCCCCCCCATTGAAATCCCTGGGGCTATGTGGAGCCCCTGCGACCAGTTACCATCTTCATATATGTCACTTCGACACATTTTTCTTCAGAACAACTAGAATATGTTCTTCCTTCTCCATCGGCTGCAATGTCTCTTGATGCTCCTTCAGTATCTTATTAGCCCTGGAGTTCCCTTTCTCCTTATCCCCGACTCAAATTTTGCTTCTGCAAAAATGCCAAGAGGAGGCTGGTCTTTTCCATTCCTGCTGTTGGTTTCAGTTCATCACATATCTGGTGATTTGGATTTGGGTGAACAGCAGCAGCAACATGTCTGCTACTTCCCATAAGGCTTTGAGGGCACATGTCAGTATCTCAGGAGCAGGTTGTTACCATTGGTTTGGTTTATTCCCATCAATAAGCACCTGCCCCCCAAAGCCTGGTAAAGAAGCCTCTATAGGAGACAAATGGAACTCTCCTGACATGAGGTGCTTCTAGGCCAGGGGTCTCAAACTCGCGGCCCACAGGCCAATTGCGGCCCGTGGGACGATACTTTGTGACCCCCACTTGATATCAAAGTTTAGTGATAGTGCCATTGTAAAGCTACAGGAAGAATTTGATCACAGGTTTGCAGATTTCAAGACACACAGAGCCACTTTTCAAATTTTTGCTGACCCCTTCTCCCTCGATGTGGAAGATGTCCCCCCCCCCCGTGCTTCAAATGGAGCTAATTGACCTGCAGTGCAATTCTGAACTCAAAGCCAAGTTCAGGGAGGTGAGTGGAAAAGCAGACAAGCTTGGACAATTTTTGAGAGAATTGCCCCTTACTTTCCCTGAGCTTTCCAGGATGTTCAAGCGGACCATGTGCCTTTCTGGGAGCACCTATCTGTGTGAAAAGTTCTTCCCCACCATGAACTTTAATAAGTCAAAGTTCAGGTCCGAACTTACTGATGAGCATCTTCAAGCCATACTGAGGGTCTCAGTTGCTTCCTCCCTCAAGCCAAATGTGTCTCAGCTGTGTAAGAGGAAGCACTGTCAGGTCTCTGGCAGCAAGGAGTAGGAGGAAGTAAGAGAAGCCTATGTTCTGAAGAACCGTTCATGTTCTGAATTATTATTAGTAAAGATTGAGAAGATTGGATCAGTTGTACTTTTTTTGGAATCCTTGATTCCAAAGGACTTGAAATCCTTTTTTTGTGGAATATTTGATGCAGCCCAGCCTCACCCAGACTCTACTTCCAGGTAAGTTGAGTTTGAGACCCCTGTTCTAGGCAGAGGGATGCCAGTACTACCACTCAAATGACATTTGTGGCGGGCTATATGCTGGAACCCCTATTGTTTGTAAGAATACTTTTTAAAAAATGCTACTGCTGCTCCATGGGCTTATGCTAATGAGTACAGTACAGTACCCAGTGGACTTATTACATGGTCAAGTGCCACAGCCTAATGCATAGTGCTGTAGTCCTGGAAAGGCTAGGACAAGCATTGGGGTTCATAGCCTGCACACGTGTCTCAGTGCTACAAGCCCTCCATCTGGAAGCATCCATGAAGTAACTTAGCTATTCTTTAATGAATTCTCTGCTTCCAGGCCAAACTTTACATTTGCTGCTGCTTTGCCAACTGTGGTTGCTTCCAGACTAAGGGTTTATCACCATCATTCTGCTCCATTCACAAAATTTTATGAGGTGGGGGAAACCATCATCCTCTCCTGCATTTCCCACAACTTTTTCCAACTTCATGCTACAGAAAACCTATCAGGGAAGAGAAGATGGAATGGCTAGTTGATGTGATCCCTCTGTCTGGAAGTACTCTGGTATAAAGAAAGAGAAAATCCAGAAGAAGCGGTGGGAAAACACAAGAGGGTTACAAACAGAAGATGCTGCAGTCTGGGCCCTAAAATTTCATGCACAGGTCAGGGTCATGGCACCCCAACAGCCCCTTCTGTAAGTCCTTACAATAAAGGAGAAGGCTGAGGGCTTCCTGCCTGAGGGAAAGAGAGAATCATAAAAGCTGCTATGCAGAAGTAAATAAAGTTAAAGAAGGATTTGAGATGCAGCAAACACTGATGAGATAGCCCTGTTCTTTCTCCATTTAAAGTTCACCAATGGACTGTTGCAATTAGCATGTCACTATCCTAGAAATGGCTTGCACCTGTTGGATTTCTGCCTGTCAAACAGCTGCTCCAGCCAAGGAACTTTAGACGGGTCCCAGTCAAAGTTCTTCCAGAGTCGTTTCGACAGGCTCCTTGTGTGAGAATCACTCTTTTACTTTGTTCCTCAAAGAAATAAATCTGTGACATGAATTCAAGCAGCACTGAATTTATTATTGCAATTGCAATAGCGGGCACACCAAGCATAGCTCACCATTTCTTTTTATTTCCTTTCTCTGTCAGCAAGAAGCCTCCCCCTTTTCCCCATTTGCTGGATACTGGTGGGTTCACAGCCTTTCTGTCCGCTTCATGCAATTCCTGTCTCATCCCATTACATACATCTACATACATTGCATGTGCATTATAATTAGTCCATTTAGTCTATTCAGGGTGTGTGAGTTAATATTCATTAATCTATTAATCTGCATGCTTATAACTACAACTTCAAAATTGTGTGATTGGTTCAAATTAGAGAAAGGAGTTCAGCAAGGCTGTATACTGTCGCCCTGCCTATTTAACTTATATGCAGAGCACATCATGAGAAAAGCGGGGCTAGATGAATCACCAGTTGGAATTAAGATTGCTGGGAGAAATAACAACCTTAGATATGCAGATGATACCACTCTCATGGCAGCAAGTGAAGAGGAACTAAAGAGCCTCTTGATGCAGGTGAAGCAGGAGAGTGCAAAAGTTGGCTTGTAACTCAACTTTAAGAAAACTAAGATCATGGCATCCAGTCCTCTCACTTCCTCACAAATAGATGGGGAAGAAATTGAGGTAGTGACAGATTTTATTTTCCTGGGCTCCAAGATCACTGCAGATGGGGACTGTAGCCAAGAAATTAAAAGACACTTGCTCCTGGGGAGGAAAGCTATGGCAAATCTAGACAGCATACTAAAAAGGAGAGACATCACCCTGCCAACAAAAGTGCGTATAGTCAAGGCTATGGTTTACCCAGTTGCAATGTATGGCTGTGAAAGCTGGACCATAAGGAAGGCTGAGCACCAAAGAATTGAGGCCTTGAATTGAGGTACTGGAGAAGATTCCTGCAAGTGCCTTGGTTTGCAAGATCAAACCAGTCAATCTTAGAGGAGATCCACCCTGACTGCTCTTTAGAAGGCCTGATACTGAAGATGAAACTCAAATACTTTGGCCACCTAATGAGAAGGAAGGACTCCCTGGAGAAGAGCCTAATGCTGGGAACAATAGATGGCAAAAGAAGAAGGGGACGGCAGAGAATGAGGGGGCTAGATGGAGTCACTGAAGCAGTTGGTGTGAGCTTGAGTGGACTCAGGGCGATGCTGGAGGACAGGAAGGCCTGGAGGAATGCTGTCCATGGGGTCGCGATGGGTCGGACATGACTTCGCGACTAACATCAACAACAACTACAAGTTCACTAATTCACTCCTCTCTGACTTTACCTTGCCTTACAACTGCCTATCTCATAAAACTACTGGGAGGATGAAATAGGAAGTAGCATACTTTCTTTCCAGCCAATTATCTTTGTCTCCCCTCCACATTCCTTCAGACAGGCTTCATGGCTCGATTAATGGCACCTTTGTTTCTCAGTCACTGTGTTACTTGTTGTCTTTTCAAGTTAAGTTGCCCCTCATGTGAATACAGGAATCAAAACTTATTCCTAATTTATCTCAATTTCCTTCTTTCACTGAGTAACAATTCACAGTTGTTTTACACACTCACCAGCCCTCCTCCTGCCCCACGCAATGTATAGATGCCAGGGTCCAGGGGCGGGGGCGAGCGATGCAAGTTTCCCAGAGCGGTAATGGAAAGCGAAACCGCACTTTTCCCGCAGCCCCTGCGGTCCCACAGCGGCGGTCACATGCCCTCCTTTACCGACTCGCTAAAAAGCTGCCGCAGAACCCGCGAGCGGGACAGCGAGCTCGGCACTCGGGCGAGCGTGAGAGACGGGGCCACAGCCATGCTCTCGCCTCCGGGCCAGCTCCTGCGCCTCCTGCGCCGAGCCCTGACAGCCCTCTGGAGCGCCCTGGCGTCCACCTGGCTCTGGCGGGCGCCCTCGGGGGCAGTCGCGAAGGAAAGCGCCGCCACGCCGCCGGCCGTGCCGCTCAGCGTCAACTACCACTTCACTCGCCAGTGCAACTACAAGTGCGGGTTCTGCTTCCACACCGCCAAGAGCTCCTTCGTGTTGCCCCTTGAGGAAGCCAAGAGGGGGCTCCGCTTGCTCCAGCAGGCGGGTGAGTGGCCCACGGCCGGCTGCCTCGCTGGGGCTCTGGGCGTGGCCTGGCGTGTGCGCGGCGGCGTCAGCGGAGGTCCCCCGCGCTGAAGTTTCCTGCCTTGCGGGGCAGAGAGAAGACTAGGCGCGCTGGGGGCTGGCAGGGAAGGCGGCGGCTGAGGAAGCCTGGAATTGGTTTCTTCGTTTAGTGAAAGGGTCTTCCGACTGCCTCGCATCGACTGATTCAGGGACCATTAAGGATAGCTGAAACCATCACATACAGAACAATTTCAGAACACACGGGAAAATCTCCAAAAGGGAAACATGCGGGCTGAGGATGATGGGAGTCGTAGGGCAACCCTCCTCTGCGAAGCGCCGGCTGAGCTAAGAACTTACGCTGGACTGCAGTATTATCTGGAATAGCAGAAGTTGCCGCTCCCTGCGTGCAGCCCCGCCCCCTCCGGCAAGACTGTCTGTCGCCCCGCTTTCCCCTCGGTCCGCATTTTCCATGGGTCCGGAGGCTGGCCTGGGGAAACCGCACCATGTGATTCAGGGAAAATAGACGAATCTGCTGAAGATGGTAGGGTGTGAAAGAAGGAAACGGGTAGCGCTGTCGCTTAGTGGTAGATTGCATGGAGAAAAAGCCCCAGGCTCTGGCCCCACCGCGCCCAGACAGGGGAAGGGCTCTGTTTCTAATCTTAAAGAGTTGCTGCCAATGATGGAATTTGGTATAAGGCAGCTTCACATGTTAGTGGGTTAGAAATAACAGTATAGGAAGCAGTTGTGCTGCTACCTATGTCCTTTGCATCTTGCTATCTCTGGATCTCTCTCACGCAAAGATTTTCTTTCTGTGGCATATTCTAGGTATGGAAAAAATAAACTTTTCAGGAGGAGAGCCCTTTCTGCAAGAAAGAGGAGAATTTGTTGGAAAACTGGTCCAATTTTGCAAACAGGAGCTGAAGCTGCCGAGTGTTAGCATTGTGAGCAATGGCAGTATGATTAAAGAACGATGGTTCAAACGCTACGGTAAGAGAAAGAATAGTTTGATGCTTTAGTATAACCATTATTTTTGTTGTTGTTGTTTAGTCCCAAAGTCATGCCTGACCCATCACGACTCCATGGACAACATTCCTCCAAGCTCTCCTGTCCTCCATCATCCCTCGGAGTCCACTCAAGCTCCCCCCCCCCACTGCCCCAGTGACTCCATTTAGCCTCTGCCTTCCCCTTCTCCTTTTGCCCTTGATTGTTCTCAGCATTAGGCTCTTCTCCAGGGAGTCCTTCCTTCTCATTAGGTGGCCAAAGTATTTGAGTTTCATCTTCAGGATCTGGCTTTCTAAAGAGCAGTCAGGGTTGATCTCCTCTAGGACTGACCAGTTTGATCTCCTTGCTGTCCAAGGGACTTGCAGGAGTCTCTGCCAGCACCACAATTCAAAGGCCTCAATTCTTCAGCGTTCAGCCTTCCTTATGGTCTAACTTTCACAGCCATAAGTTGCAACTGGGAAAACCATAGATTTGACTATACAAACTTTTGTCGGCAGGGTGATGTCTCTGCTTTTTAATATGTTGTCTAGATTTGCCATAGCTTTCCTCCCCAGGAGCAAGCGTCTTTTAATTTCTTGGCTACAGTCACCATCTGCGGTGATCTTGGAGTCCAAGAAAATAAAATCTGTCACTTCCTCCATTTCTTCCCCATCTATTTGCCAAGAAGTGATAGGACCGGATGCAAGATCTTACTTTAATTAATGTTGCGTTTCAAGCCAACTTTTGTGCTCTCCTCTTTTGCCCGCCTCAAGAGACCCTTTAGTTCCTCTTCAGTTTCTGTCATTAGAGTGGAATCGTCTAACAATTATTACAGAATTTAATTATTGTGCTGGTGGACCTTTGGGGGGTAGGAAGAAAACAAAACTCTATGGAGGAACCAGTGGAATGGAGCATACTGGAAAGAGGACATTATGGGTTTACTGGGACCCTGAACGGAAGCAATTCAGAGTATACTTTTGTTGTCATCTCACTTGTCCCAAAGAAATGCTGAGGACTGGGATGGGCAGGAGAGTAGAACCTCTAACTTCCTTTTCCTCTTCTGAGAGCTCAGAATACTATAAGACAATTTCTGGATGTTTGAAGCCTTGAATAGAAGCACTCCATTTGACACAAGACTTCCCACTTGTTTTTCAGCTCTTTTCATTCATGGCTGGGAGCTAGATAGGTCACTTACATCACTAACACACTCCATGCATTTCTAAGATGACTGATTTCCTCTTTGTTTATCAGCCACTTGATGTGAATTTAAATATGTTATTCAGACTTCTAACTGCCTGATTCTATCTGCCACATAAGAGAATTCTAGGTTCAAATGACAGATTAAATTCCATGGTTTCTCTTCTTCAGGTGACTTTTTCACCTGTTTTTTTTTTTTTTTTTTTTTTTTTGCACCTCATGCAGGCATGCAAAGCAGTAACGTGTAGGAATGTGTAACGGGAATGTGCAATTACACGTTTCTCTTGGAGGTTAAAATAAAAGTAAACTGAAAATAGAGTTTCAGACAAAACGTTACCAATTGAAGGAAGCAAGAAAATGAAATGGAGACAACCATGAGAATGCTTGTTATGACATGGGATCCCTTACTGTAAAAACTAAAGATTTAACTCCTAGTTTTTAAAGGAGCAAGTATTACATTCCAGTCTAGGCACTCAAGTTCAAAAGGAATGAAGCTGTATGACCCAGCTTCGCATGTCCTTGGGCTGCCCTGAGCTGGAGTGGGAAAAAAAAAAAGCCTAACTAAACATGTACAACTACCTGTTCAATCTCTGTACAAAAACTATGGCTCCAATCCTGTAGGGATGCTATGGATGGAAAGAACCTTTTGTGTGTGGAGCTGATGCAGATACAAACTGGAAACCTCATTCGTTTGTGCTACTTCTTTAGACCATCTAACTTGGCTAACTTCAACTTTCAGTACAGACGAAATGCACAAATATTAGTTTTTTTGTGCATCTAATTGCATGCATCTAGAGTGGGATGAGGACCTTTTAATGTGCACTTCTATGTCTGTTTAAACAGGAAGAGGTCCTATAACATTGTAGGACTGTTTTTGTTTCAACATACATGAGACTATGTTCTTAGGTTTGATAGCTGTATTGCTGGTATGAGGGAAAAAGGGTACAGAAAAAGAAACAAGCTTTAGAACTATGAATTAATTTAGTCCTTAAATGAATGTTTTAAGATTGACTATAGTTAGATATTGGTCCCTTGGTCAAGCTCAGAGAACTTTGTTTTCACCCAACATTTTCACTTCCGTCTTTCCCTTTCCCCCCCTTAATTTTCTAAAGGTCTTTGACCTTATCTACTTTCCCCATTCACACTCTTTCATTTGGTTTTCACAACCCTAAATATTTTCAGTCAGCTTATTGTATTCCCGTTTTAGTTGGGCGCTCTATTTGTGTCAGCTCTGGGAAGTAAGCAGCAGGCACTTTTGATTGCAATATTGAGGCCAAGGGTGATGAAGGTGGAAGGAGAACCACAGTTTGCCCAATCCACACTCTTATCAAGGTGTAGTAGAGTCAAAGGTGATGGGTGAGTCAGGGACAAACAAGGCTGATACACATCATGGCAGAGCCAAAGGTAGAGTCAGGACATGAATAAAGACATGGCAGAGTAGAGCAGAGCAGACCTGGGAAGCTTTTTATAGCTTGGAGCTGATATTCATGGTTGTACTGGCCCTAATCTTGCAAGCTTCTGCAGACTGGATGCTAATCCTGCAAGTACTGTATTTGCAAGGTAAACTGGGCTGCCTTCTCTGTCAGGCCACCAGGGGGAGCTGGATTGCTTTGCAGATTCTGAGACACTGCCACTTTAAGGCTTTTGAAAAAGATTGTATTCATTAGATCTGGTAATATTTGAGTCACCTGTTTCCACCACTCTCATTTTAAGATTTTGTTACTTACCTTCAAATACATTTTTGATAACTAGCTTCTTCATCTGATTCTTCATCTGTGATGTCCTTATATTATTCTGTTTGGTTTTTGCACTGTTGTAGATCTTTATGCCTTGTTAAAACCACATGTCTCTTGCACTAGTTCATTTTCTTCTCATTCCTTGTTTTCTATGAAACCATTTACTAGCCCATATGAATTCGACTGATTATTTTCCATTATTAAACTTTATTACTAGTTTATGACTAATTCACCTCCTCCCAGAGTTTTAAGGTTGCTTGACTGCTTTTTGCTTGATAAAAAAATTGGGGATGTGATGTGCGGTAGTGGTAGTGTTTCTAATGGCGCCTGTATCTGAGTATTAGTATTGCATAAGGCTCATATATCTTTGGTCATACAGCAGCACCTGCCAGGATAGGTCAAGGATGTGTCCAGCTAGCTAAAAGTATCCTGGGTGGTATCCGGTATTTATTTGACTTAAATCCCATTCATTCCAGTTGTTGTTAGTTGCGAAGATGTGTCTGACCTATTGCGACCCCATGGACAACATTCCTCCAGGCCTTCCTGTCCTCCACCATCTCCCGGAGTCCACTGAAGCTCACACCAACTGCTTCAGTGACTCCGTCCAGCCACCTCATCCTCTGCCGTCCCCTTCTTCTTTTGCCATCTACTGTTCCCACCATTAGGCTCTGCTCCAGGGAGTCCTTCCTTCTCATTAGGTGGCCAAAGTATTTGAGTTTCATCTTCAGGATCTGGCCTTCTAAAGAGCAGTCAGGGTTGGTCTCCTCTAGGACTGACTGGTTTGATTGCCTTGCGGTCCAAGGGACTCACAGGAGTCTCCTCCAGCACCACAATTCAAAGGCCTCAATCGTTTTGCGCTCAGTCTTCCTTATGGTCCAGCTTTCACAGCCATACATTGCAACTGGGAAAACCATAGCCTTGACTATACGCACTTTTGTTGTCAGGGTGATGTCTCTGCTTTTTAGTATGCTGTCTAGATTTGCCATAGCTTTCCTCCCCAGGAGCAAGTGTCTTTTACTATCTTGGCTGCTGTCCCCATCTGTGGTGATCTTGGAGCCCAGGAAAATACAATCTGTCACCACCTCCGTTTCTTCCCCATCTATTTGCCCGGAAGTGAGAGGACCGGATGCCATGATCTTAGTAGGTTTACTCAAAGTTGGACTAGCACTGGATACAACCCAGTGGATTCATTTAATAGTGACAAGAGCATGTCGTAATAGTTTTTATTTTTTGTAATAAATATACTGATAAACAATTAATAAAAAGGATAAGAGTGTAAAATATTTATTATAGCAGGGCTTGTCATTCTTATTGAAGCATACAACTAATAGTCTGTGAAAGTGAACCCATATTAGGATGGAATAGGCCTGGATGACTTGACTACTGCTATGGACCATTTGCAATTTTTTTTAATTTACTGTTTCAGGGCAATACCTAGACATTCTGGCTGTGTCTTGTGATAGTTTCTGTGAAGAAGTCAATGTTTTAATTGGCCGCGGGCAAGGGAAGAAAAATCATGTTGAAAATCTCCAAAAATTGAAGAAATGGTGCCAAGTGTATGGTGTGGCTTTCAAAATAAACTCAGTGATCAACAGATTTAACATGGAAGAGGATATGAATGAGCAGATCAAAGCTCTAAATCCTGTCCGCTGGAAGGTAAGAACCACTTCCTCTTGGCAAACGCTATCAGATGTTTAGTGAGACAGCCCCATGGGCATCTTTCCATCTGGGTATCTAAACCAGGGGTGCTCGTGTATTTCCTAAGGATATCCATATTGCAATGATGCATTCCCAATTAGGTAGCCTGGTGAGGTTTCAAGAGTTAGATAGCTGTTAGCCATGAACTTGGGATTAATGAAATGCAGGGATCTTTGAGAAGGAATGATGGTCAGTTTGGACCAGGGCCTCGAAAAGACAGCTGGTTGTGAATGAAGAAAGCGACACATGTTTAGCAGCCCATCCTCTGAAAAATCCATTATCATGGCTTAGGGAAGCTACTGCCAGGATCTGGATCCCCACCCAGAAACTGGAGGATGTAGCCCAAGGATTCAGAATCACAGGCAAAACATACCCCCCCACCCCAGGGAGGGGGCAACCTGGTCTTCTGGAATTCTTCAGGTGGACATGCCCGCTTTTCCAGGCTACTGTTTGACAGGCTATTTTGTGTATTCCCCTGTCCCTATTCTGAAAGGTTGAAATACTTTCTAAGGCTTAGGGCCTGTCAGTAAGAGCTTTAAGCTGGTATAAGGGTATTGATTATGACCTACAAAGCCCTAAACGGCTTGGGTCCTGGCTACCTGAACGAGTGCTTACGTCCGTATATGCCCGACCGCCCTTTGAGATCTGCGGGAGAGTCCCTTCGCCGGGAACCCTCCATGAAAGAAATTAGGAGAGTAAGTACCCGGAGGAGGGCTTTCTCTGCGGTGGCGCCCAACCTATGGAATTCACTCCCCAAAGAGGTCCGCCTGGCACCGTCGTTACTGGTTTTTCGGCGCCAGGTAAAGACCTTTTTATTTAAACATCATTTCAATTGTTAAAACATATGATCTGGCCGGGCCACCTTCTTCTTCCTTCTCTTTTCTCCTCCTATATTCTTTATTTTATACTGATAATTTTAATTTTGTATTTGTAAATCAATGTATTTTTTTGTATTTTTATATTTAATGGTAATTTATTATGTACTATTGTATTTCAATGTATTTTATCATGTTGTAAGCCGCCCCGAGGTTTCGGCAAGGGGCGGCATAGAAATGTTATTATAATAATAATAATAATAATAATAATAATAATAATAATAATATTTGTGCCTTTGGCTGCTTCAGTTTTGCCTTCTGCCCCACCTCATGAAACACGCCCCACAGAGTTTCTCTGAAATTCAGTTCAGTCCTGCTGAACACCAAGTGGTTTTCTGGTGCCATGCGCACATGAAAGATGGAACGCTTTGGTGGGAATGGTGGCTTAGACTCAGAAAAGGGGGAGTGGATAGCTGAACCAGCTGTGGCTCAGAGTCCTCACTCTGACATCGGAGTTGGTGAGACTAGTGAGGCTCCAGTGGCCCAAACCCTCTCGGTGAGCCAGCCTGAGCCATCTCCGGATCGAAGCACTTCAAGGACAACCACTGAGCCCCCTCCCTCTCCTGATTGTGGGAAAGAATGGCTTGGGATCAGGATACCTAAAGGAACGCCTTTTTCCCTACATGTCCTCCTGCCCCCTGAGGTCGGTAGCAGAAGCCCTCTTCCGGGAACCTTCTTTGAAAGAGGTTAAGAGACAGAGTACCCGGAGGAGGGCCTTCTCTGCGGTGGCGCCCCAACTATGGAATGCGCTCCCCAGAGAAGTCCGCCTGGTGCCATCATATTTTTTTCAGCACCAGGTCAAGGCCTTATTTGGCCAATATTTTAACACATAGTAATTTAATTTATTTTATATGATGCTCAATGTGGAATAGTTAATTTATCTTATTTTATCATAGTCTGAAATAATGTTGTAAGCAGCCCATAGACGACAGTAAGGGATGGCATACAATTTTTTTAAATAAAAAAATAAAAATAAGCCAGCTGGGGAGGGGTTCTCAGGAGGAGAACTTGACAAACCTGGAGACATGGACGCAAGGGCCTGTCGAAGCACTCGCTGGCTGGACCAATTAGAAACTCAATGGGAAGAGCGTTGGCATGCCTGTTTTCATAGTGCGCAGACCCCCTCAAGAGACTGGCCCCAAAGAGTTCATAAACAGAGCTTTGGATGAATAGGGTCAGAGGAAGGGGTCAGCTTTCCACCTGGAGTGCTTGTTTTGAAGCTCGTGAATACATTGTTGCTGCATGGAATAAAGACTCTTTTAATAATTGTTGAAGTGCTTGTCTCGATTGGGAAGGGACGCCTAGCTCACAACACCCGGGCAATCAGTAAGTCCTGGTCTCTCCCTGCTGCAGACTATCTTGTTTCCTGAGCTTCCCTCGCTGCAAACAAGAATGGGACTTTTACCACTTTGGGAAAGCTCTTTTCCCTTTACCTTTATACCTTACAAGCCTGTTCTTGCTTTAGAAGGGAATGCTAAAGAAAAGAAATGGGAAGAAAGGTTCTAAAAACTTGGAACAGGATGGGGCTTTTGGGACAGAGACGTCCAGTTCAGTGGGACTTCTTGTATGCTCATGCCTTTGGTCCCTATTACTCTTACAAAGTAAAGAAACTTCCTGCCTAACATTTCCCCTTTAGAATTGTCGATATTTCCCCCTTCCGATGGGAAAGGTGGAAAAAAACAGGGCAGTTTCACACAGTACTAGTTTTGAGCAAATGGCAAAGGAGAACAATATGGGGCTGCATTTCACAAGTAGATCATAGGTTACTGAAGTTTGCTAATTGCACCCATTTAAAAAATGCCTTGAGGGCAGTTAGCTTTTTTCAGAAAACCCTATAGTGGGTGAATGGTGTCGGTTTCGCTGCCCTATCGTTGTTGGTTATGGTATTTGTGACTGGCAGACCTTTTCTCTTAATCATACACTTTATGTCTCCTAGGTATTCCAGTGCCTGCTCATTGAAGGAGAAAATACAGGAGCTGATGCTTTGAGAGAAGCCGAAAGATTTGTCATCAGTGATGAAGATTTTGAGCGATTCCTACATCACCATAAAGATGTCTCCTGTTTAGTGCCTGAATCTAATCAAAAAGTAAAGTTACTATGCTGACTATTCATGAATTCAGAAAGTAAAACATTTAATTTGAGAACCAGAAATCCAAATGTAAATTGATTAGTTTTGTGTATTGAAGGGTGCTTACTAAGCGAAAAATGCAAGTACCTAGTTTCTTGGTTTCCCTGGCTATAGAAAAGTTCTATATAGATGGCAGTATATTTATTAGAATTCTTGCAAGCTTGCATGTGTGCTTATAAACATCTGATATGTGTATGGTCAGACTGATAGGTTCACCAACGCAAAATGTAAATCCATGGCATTAAAATGGTGTTGCACCAAATGTTACAACATCTGAGACAGTTTTGCATTAGAGACGAACTTCAGTGAATTGCTAATTTCTTAAGCATTACTTAATTTTCTAAAAGTTAGAGAGATAATCACAGTAATGTTATTTTTGTTGATAAATACCATGAACTGTGTAGATTGTACAATTGCATTTTGCAACAACCAAAACTTGTATAAGGTCTAGAATTCAATATCCTGAAAAATCTTAGCTTTTTATTTTGGAAAAACCTGTTAATCTCCTGTGAATCAAAGGCAAACAACCTGATGCCATCTAGACATTTTCAAATATATATAACCAATTTCTCTCTTTCCCCTTTTAATAGATGAGAGATTCATACTTAATTCTGGATGAATACGTAAGTGTTTTTCTTTAATTGTTTTATTTACCACACAATTTCAACTTAAATATATTCCATACTATATTTAGCAAAGGCTTTATTTCAGCCTTTGCCTTGAGAAGATAGCACCCTTATCCTTGCTGCTGATTTCAGTAGGGCTTATTTCTAATTCAGCATGAAATATTGTTATTAAAACATTAGGATTCAGTTGCAAGCTTTCCTAAATCAACACTTCCTTGTGGTACGAGTAGTATGCATGTCTATTCAGAAATCAGTCCTCTGGAACTTATTCCCAGATTAAAATTGCAATCCAAATGTAAGAGGGGAAGAATAACAGGTCACCTTATACAGAGTAAAACCTTTGCTCTGGTCAGCCCTGTAGCATTGACATTAATGAGTAGCGGCTCTCCAGGTTTTCAGGCAGGATTCCTTCCCATGCTTACCTGAAGATGCTGGTGATTGAAACTGGGGCCTTCTGCATGCAAAACAGGTGCTTTTCCACTGAGGAACAGCCCTTTCTTTTACTAATGAGTCGGAATTCAAGCATTTCAGCTAGTCCAATGGGAAAAAAACCAGAGGAATCCACCAAAGTGCATAGCCTGTGAACAATGGGAAGCGCCCTGCTATTCATATCATAATCAGTCGATGAAAGATGGGGATGCTTCACGGATGCCTATGTGGGTTCCTTGGTCCTTACAGTCCAGGGTTTGGTCCAGGTCCCAGATAGAACCTTGGGCAGGCAAAAAGCAGATTGTGGTGACCAGTGATTATCTTGGCTGTACCATTCTGCAATATGGGTAGAAGTCTTGCCTCTGTATCATCTCCTTATTTGTGCAGTGGTCAAGATTCGTGCTGTCAGCAAAACTGCTGTCAACAAACAAGGCCACAGAAATAGACAAATGTGTAATTTTTCTACCTTGTACACTGGACCCGCAGAACAAAGATTTGGACCACAAATGCATCCCAAAAGGGCTTTTAAGGTTGTGTCACACTTTTCACTCAGGTATATTTTTGTTTGCATTACTGTGTACATGCTGTGGCAGTTAGATCTACATTGGCCATCATATGCATTTCTGTTATGCATTTTGTTCCCCATAAATATTCGAATGAACCAAGAGTGTCTGAGAGGTAATTTTGCTGTTGTGTAAGAAAATACTCTTTACAGAAAAAAAACATGCATTGCTTTAAATGGTATTATTCTGAATCCTTCACTTCAGCAGCATTACTTGCATATGCACCCAGAAGAGTTTGTTGGGCCAGAAGTAGACACCAGGGCGTCCTTATCAACACCAACTTCAGAATGATTCAGTTGTAGGTAGGGATATCAGAGCAGTCCATTGCTGATTAAAACAAGTTTGGATTTCTGTGAATCTGACCTGTGGTGGACTCACTTTTTCCAAGCTGCATTTGTTCTGAGGATTGGCAGATCAATTTTTTACTATTGGGCAACATTTGTTTAATTTAGCCCATGTATGTTCATGCAAATATTCAATTGCAAACAAACAAATCTCACACAGAAAGTCTGTTTTTATCAATGCATGAACGAAAAACACCTGACAGCCTTTGCAACACAGATGGAACTGATTTAACACAATCTGTACATCCCTCATTGTAGATTATTTAGTTTAGGGTGGGGAAGGCTAGTTTGGGCTGGTACAGCCTACATTTTCCTCTTTCTTGTGTTTCCAGATGAGGTTTCTAAACTGTACAGGTGGCCGGAAAGAGCCTTCCCGATCTATTCTGGATGTTGGTGTAGAAGAAGCAATAAAATTCAGTGGCTTTGATGAAAAGATGTTTTTCAGAAGAGGAGGACGATATGTCTGGAGCAAAGCAGATATGGCACTGGAATGGTGACCAGCCCTACTTACTCTCTCCATGTGTTGTGCACTGAAAAGATAAACAGTACCCATCTGGTTCCATTCGTTAGCGAAAAACACACCCAGGTTTTTTTTAGAGAGAGTTTGCTCTGCGTCTTAGCTGTTAAAGGTGTGTGGCAATATTCCAATGAAGGTTGCTTATTACAGGCAAAAGAGTAAGCACACATTTGGGAATTCCTATATATTTAAATAATATATTGCACCAGCCACCTATACAAAACTGAATTCAAGCCTCCAGTTGGTTTGCTGGAGGGAAATACCTCATAAGAACTGTACTAGATCAGACAAAGGATGTTTCCTGTCTGGGATTCTGTTCACAAAGTGGCTGCCCAGCTGCTAAAGAACCAAGTGAATTTGCAGCAGCAAAGTCTTTTTCCTCGTGACTTAGTCCTGTAGAAATGCATTTTGAACTGGCGGTACCTAATACCAGTGAGACTTAAACACATAAAGAGGGAAAGAGATAACTGATGAAGATGTGAGTACCCAGGTACTTTTTAATAAGGATTTATCCAATGATTCAGGATAAATATTGTTAAGCAAATGGAAGATAATGGTGGGACAATAGACGTGGCTACCAATTGAGCATTACTAAATCATCAAGAATAAAAAGGCTGTCTTCAGTGAACATACTGGGCCAGTGGATGAAGGGTTGAAAAGCAGCAAAGCTGGAACAGGCTAACACCCCAGCCCTTGCTGATACAGCTTTGGAACTGTACTTCCTGTGGAAAAGCTTACAGAACAAATAAATGCCACACACTATTTTTTACACAGGGATTCTACATAAATTGAATATATCAGCCACCTGATCTTTCAACTGATTTTGTATTTGTATCACTTAGAGCACATGGGAATTCTGACATGCTTTAAAACCTGCAGGTTTGTTACGTCAAGACACTGTGTTAATATATTTGGAGTGTTGTAATATTTATTCTTTTACTTGTGTAGTCAAGAGTAGGCAGCTTTTGAAGTCCGGGCCCCCTCATCAGTCACATTCTGCCCCCCACTGATAGCCACTAAATCACCTGTGGTAATTTGTGGTAGCAACACAAACACAAGAGATTGTACACGAAAATAAGGGATTTGCACACTACCTTGCAAAACCGCCTCTTTATTGGTGGTGCTGTGGGGACAGAAAAGCTGGCATGGAGGAGAGGGCATGTAACTAAAACAGCAGAGGTGGCTGCATGTGGCTGACAGGCCATGTGTTGTCCACGCCTGTGTACTATATAGAAAGATGTATGCCCCTGGCCTCTTACTTGCGGGTACATCTTACTGAAAGATTGTAAGTGACTAGCTGAACAATCTAATAATTGTTTACACACACGCACACATATTTAAATCCAGATTTATATATGGACACTTATGTAACTGTAGGTCCATTTGTTTTTAATTCAAGCATATATTTGTAAGGATATATATATAATAAAAATAAATAATTAAGAAGTGCTATTAAAATATTCTGCTCTTTCTTTGATAAGGTTTGCATTTAGACACCCCAGATTTCAGGTAGATATAAATGAACTGTTTGTTACAGACACCTGGTGCAGCTTTGTGGTTATGCTTGGTCCATTTATAGGCAAGCCTGTAGGCTAATGAGCCTCACACTCATTTCATCTCAGTTTTATTTCTCCTCCTTCATTTGTCTGGGTAAAGCCTAAAGAAGGGATCCTGTAAGAATAAATGCCAGTGACTTCACCCAGGGAGGAAATGGAGGCTATAGGGGTTACCATCTTGTCTTTATAGCTTGCAGATGTCACCTGCAAACTACTTTTAATGGAGGTTTCACCCATTGGAGCAAGAGGGAAATATCATTTACAGGGGGGAACCTGCAAGCCAAGAAACACTTCTCCCACCCATCAGAGAGTCCACCCTGTCTGTGTTCCATGCCCTTCTTGGTAGATAGATTGAAGTATGGTTTTGCCAAAATAATTCTGCACTTAAGTGCTATTTGTTTTAGAGGGTAAATGGAATGTTTTCAAAGTTTCATCTTCCAAATGACAACTAATTGAAACAACCCTGCTAAATAAAACCGTTAGCTACAATTTTTTCCTTTGGTAGTAAGTTTATTTTGTCTTTTTTACCAGCAACATGGTAATATTTGGAAGATGGATTTTAAATTGGTTATGATGACCCTTGTATGTCTTCCAGACATAAATTTAGACCAAAGCCACAGTGTCTATATAAAGATATAATATTATACAACACTGGGGAAAAAATAAATGTGAAAACCTTCAAATGCATTTCTCTTAATCTCTATTTTTATGGCTATAACCATAATCATATACAACTCCTGTAGGACCAAAGAATGTCCAGAATTCTCCCATCCTTGCATTTCCTTTATATACACTAGGTTCCCCCTCCTCTTTCAAAATATGTAAAATACCACAGAAGCAATTATGGAGCTTGATTCCACAGCAGTGTAGTAAAATGTGCCCTGTCTTCACATGGAATGTTGCCGAAATAAATCCTGTAAGCCCACACCCAAACCACACGTCTTTCATTACGGAGTGTTTCATCCCTGGGCATTCGGTGGAAGACGCATTCTGGTGCTGCTGCTCAACCATCACCACCAGGGCGACTCCAGCCTTACCACCACAACTTGCCATTCATCCAGAATAGCTGCTATTTAGCTGCCAAAAGTACAACAGGTGTGTAAAGCTGAAAGAGGCTTCATTTATTCATTTCCCAACCTTTGGTGGACTAAAGCCACAACTCATGTGTTCCTTTTCATAAGGTCTTTCCAGACAATGGTTATTGTACAAGTCTTCATGTCTTTTTCAGTGTTGTGCTTGCTGGAAATGAGAGACAGCAACAAAGTGCTCCAAGCAAGATAGTCAGTCCTATGGAGCTTCTGGACAGCGTGTAACACAAACAGTCCGAAGCCATTGTGCAGGTCTTCCATCTTTTCTTCCTTCACCAATTTTTTTTGTGTGGGAAGAAAGTACATGGAAGAAGTAGTAGGAAAACACGGGAAGTTCATAGTGGCAAGACGTTGACATCTGAATCCTCTGTAATATTCTGTGAATGAGTTGCAGCAAATGCTCAAAAGCCTCATCTGGAAGTACCCCATGCAAACTGTAAAAATCAGCCCTCGGTATTTTTACTCCCCCATGCATGGCACGATAGTTAAAAACATGAAAATTCAGAAGAGCTGCTGTTTAAGCAAGTAACAGCATGGATTGGGACTGGAGTCCAAACCTTGATTTCTGGAGCACTAAAGTGGTCCTGAATGTGAGACTGTGATGTTGGATTCATCGGATTAACTGACTTTGGCAGCTTTTTGCTTAAAAATCCAATTCCACCACTTCTGAAACTCATCAGCTGCCAGTGCTTATAACCCATACATGACATCAAAAGTGTTTTTTTTTATTTTTGTTTTCCTCCTGTAGTTGGAATAACATTCATCCTACCTGCACCTATGAAAAAGTATGACATTTAGATTGGTTTAAAAGAAGCTTATCAAATCAAGCCAGAAAATTCTTTGGAAGCAAAAATGACAAAACTGAGGCTTTTGTACTTCAGGCACCTCATGATAAAGCACAGTTCACTGGAGAAGCCAGTCATGCTAGGGAAAGTCAAGAGTGGAAGGCTAAATACGAGATGAGTTGACCCCGTAAAGGAAGGCACAGCCTCCAGTTCACAATTGCTGAGCAGGGCTATCATTTCGGAGGGCTTTAATTCATAGGGTTGCCATTAGCTGAGGAAGGCCTGACTGCGTATAACAACAAAGACTGTTTCCTGCTTTCAGTCTTCCGATCTTCTACGCTACCACACAAATGGCAAGTGTAGTGCCACTTCAGGCACATGTGAAAATTGTTGCCGTGTGCCGTCAGGTCATCTCTGACTTACGGTGACCCTAGAAATGAATGCTTGAACATCACTGCCATTCAGTATGAAAGATCCTCTGCCAGTGTTGCCTTCAGCTGCTGCTGCTGCTCAGTAGCTGCCCCTCCTTTATCCTCAGTGGAGATACCCATTCTCTTCTGGTGATGCAAGAGCGTGGGTGCATCTTTGGCTGGGGTCTCGGCTTTGACCATCCTGCCTTGGGCGACCCTACTAGGTGACCAGCCTTGTGAGAAAGTCTGGCCTGCTGCGGGCACTGCTCTCGGCTTCTCTGGCACTCTCAACTGCCCTCGCCTTAAGGTGTGCATCCACGAGGGAGACACGTGAAAACGCCCCCCTGTTTTTCACACTGGTTCTTGAACGGCCATACTCTTCCTTGCCACCATGCTGTACCTGCTAGCGCCAGCCCCACCATTTGGCAGCAAGAGGCGGCTGCTCTGGGATGTCACAAAAGGGCAGCAAGTGGCTATGCGTATTAACGATTCCTTATTATTACTGAGCTTTTCATCGACAAAGAAAGCGAAGAGTTGCCTCTGGCGTTTTCTGCCTGGCTAATTGGGCGGACAGCCGTGGTCACTTACGTGTCTCGCCCTGGCGGGTGCGCGCCTACCGGGCACTGCTTGCTCTTCTGACTCGAGCCGCCGAACGGCTCTCGGCTGGCCTTGCAATCTCTCCGCAACGGAGCTGCACGGACTCTCCAGAGAAGTGCCAGGAAACCCAAGCGGCTTGGGTTGAACTTGGGGGCTCGGTCCCTTGCCGCTGGCGCTGCAGGGCCGGCAGGGGGCGCGCCGGGCGTGCGCCGCGCTCTGAATTTAGCGGTCGCTTCAAAGGAAAGCCGCTACGGCTGCAAAACCACTGAAGCTTAATGGCGTCCTTGTGCTCAGATTAGCTGTTCCCTTTCCCTCCTCCTCCTCCTCTCCCCCACCCCCCGTCCACCCCACCTTCTTCCTTCCTAAGGGGAGGGGAGAGGAGGGAAGAAAAGAAAAAGCAGCGGCGGCAAGGAAGCGACCAGGCGCGCTGGCGAGACTCGCCTTCGCTGGGAAAGGCGGGCAGGCACGCAGCGGCGGAGTCGCCACAATGCGCAAGGCGCCAACACCCTGGAAAGGCTGCCCGACGAACTGAGCCGCGAGCGGCAGTGCCCGGTCCATGCAAACGGCGGGAGCTGCAGAGCGCGGGAGGCGCCCGCTGGGAAGAAGCGGCAGCGCCAGGAGCCTTTCCTCTTCCCAAGAGCATCAGCAGCAGGCGGGTAAGGCGTCGTCCCACAGCTTCTTTGTGTCTGCTTCAGGGCGGCATCCTCCTTGGGCTCATTCGTCGCTCTCGCTAGGCCGCCCTAATCTCTCGCTCAGCGGCACGCGAGGCAGCTCGGGCAGAGCCGAGGAGACGGGGCGCATTCCGCGCACACGCGTATGCTGTCTCCCTCCCTTTCCCTCACACACACACACACACACACGGGCACAGGCACACGGACTCTTCTTAGGCGTTCACTGCATATGTGGCATCTATTGCGCGGAACCTTTTGTGTGCGTCTTTTCATCGCTTCCATGGCCAGTGTGGCTGCTTGGGAGGTGCGTTGCACGTCGGACATCGGACGTCGGATCATAAGAGAGGCAAAGTAGCACGAAGTAACCGCACCGAGAAGGATGTGGGATTTTGCTGGGGGTAGATTTAGGCCACAGATTTAGGCGCTCACCGCATGGGTTGGCTGGGGATGTAAATGAGGGATTCCTGTGTGTGTCTGCCTGCCTGCCCCCTCTGGAACCCGAATTGGGTTTAATGGACTTTTAATGCTCTCCTAATTATGCCTAACCGAGCAATAAATGTCACACTGTCCCTTGATGGTGTGGCATTGGAGAGACTCAAGGCACATTAAAGTGGGAAGTGATTGGATGACCTCCTACATTCCTTTTTTCTATAATGGTTCTGCGCTTGCTCACCTTGGGAAAACTCTAGCTGAAGTTGTTCATAATAAGGCAGTCTTAATTGGTGTACAGCTTTGCTTTCCCTTTGAAGCCTCTGAGATAAGACCATCTTCTATATGGTGATTTAGCTAGCAACACCACTACCCTTTACATCTCCACTCAGAAATAAGCCCCACTGAATTCATGGGAATTCCTCCCAGGCATTACAGCCCCGACAACTGAGATGCCCAGGATGCTGCACTCATTGCTTGCCCTGCTGTTAATGAGGGACAGGCATAGGTGGGCGTGGAAGTGCTTCATTGCATAACTACCTAGGAGGTACATATGTGTTTAGGTATCCATGTGAATGCACACACGCCCACACCCATGATTTGGAACAGTTTTGAACTTCTTCCTGCAATCCCGTGGCATAGCCGCATTTGGCGTTGTGTTCCTTTAGGGAACTGAGTTTGCGTTGCTACTTTCTGCCTCAGTGGCTGTCCCACACTCATAATGAGAAGGAATTGACCAGAGATCTATAGGAAGGTGGCGTGAGGCAGGAGTGCAGCCAGCGATCACAGCCTCTGTGATTTCCGTAGCTGGACAGGCTTGGCAGGTAGCTGAGGAAGAGGCAGTGAGAGCAGTTCGCTAGTTTAAGCCTCCCACTGACAGATTTTCTTCAGAGGAGGAAAGGGCAGGATGTGACAATCCTTGTCTGTACTTGAAGGTCTCTTGAGGTTTGGAAAGGGCTAGCAGAACAGAGGGGAAAGCACTGGGAGAGTGTTTAAGAGGCTTTGGGGGATTTAGGGTGGGGGACAAATAGCTGGGCTTTTAAAGACAGGGAATTTCCCTTTGTGTGTTCTCTGATTTATTCGGACAGATAGTATTTTGTCACTCATGTGGCAACAGCATGATCAGGCAGTGTTCCCCAGTCTGGCTGCCCTCAATGTGTGAGGGCCACAACCTCCATCATCCCCAGCTAGAAGGCCAGCCAAGGAGCATGCTGGCCAGAATGATGTGTGTTTCAGCCAAACATACCTGGAGGGCAGTGGACTAGGAAAGGCCCCCAAAAGGTTGTCTCCTTTGAACTCTTTAATTCTTATACCTGCAGCCATGTTGAAATGAATTGCCTCTCCAGAGGGCAGAGGCAAGCAGGACTACCTGCCATCATTTCAGCTGGATGAAGTGGAGTGTGTGCCTTGGGCTGGAGACTATTCACATGTGAAAGCCAGCAGCTTTCCTGCACCTTGCCTTGGTGATTGATCCTGTGTGCCCATCTCTTGTTACAGGATCACGTGGGGGTGGGGTCAAGATGGGCATAGATCCCCAGGATTGCTCCAGCCGGAACAGCACTGGGGTGATTGATGGAATTGCAGTGGGCGTTCGCTGCCTGCGTCCTTTGTCTGTGCTGGCATTTCTTCTTGTAGTCCTGTAGTGGTGATATAATAGTTGCGCAGGGCCAGCGGGTGGGAAAAGTGTGATGATAGGGAATCGGATGGCGGAATTTGTCAGGGTTCATGAATGGGGAATACAAGGGTATGCTCTGCGTGATGCAGTATCAGGTTAATAATTTGTGAACATGTTCTCAGGTGTAAGAGAACTTCTAGATGGAAAACTCCTGGCACTTGGAGTTCAAAGGCACTGCACAGCTGTTCCACATGTTCCTTCTTAATGGATTGTCTGCAGTAAAAGAAAAGAAGGAAGAAGCAGTAGGAAAATATGCAAAGGTTACAAGTGGAAGATGTCAATGACTGGACCTTCCTCCCATAAAACTATGAAGAAGGCAGGCTGAGAGCATGACATGAAGGGCGCAGTCTTCTGCACATTTAGGCAGAAAAAGGTCCAACACCTCCCCAGTGTCCAACACTTCCTAATGGCGGTTGTGGCATGCCGGGGGTCGAGGGACTGTTCCCAGTCTAGCTTGCATAGGGTTGCATCCTTCGTTGATCAGTGGTGATGCCAGTGGGGGTGGCCTCTTTTGCCTCTTCCTTTGCAATACGTTCCTCGTGTGTTTTGCAAAATGCTGCATGTTTGAGTGCAATGGGAAAGGGGGCAAGGCTTGGGATGGACCCCTCCCTCTCCCATTTCCTTCATTGGCCTTAGCGTTTGTGATCTTGTGAATGATAAGCCTCCCTGTGTTGCTGTGGGATGGCCCAGCTTCTAGCCTGCTCATGAAATTTGTGTCTGCTAAGATGGCTGAAGATTATGTGCATCTAAAATTAGCCTAGGAAGAAGCAGCAGAATTCTGCATGAAAAAGTGTGGGAGTAACTGTGTTAAATCCTGCCTCCTTGCCTTGTCTCTCAAGAATCCCTAACCACCTAATCGAAATGCTGACTCTCCTCCACTTTCTGTAGCTGGGCTGATATGTTATTCTTGGCGTATGCTTTGAATTGAGACTTGCTGAAACTGTGAGCAGCAAATGCACAGAAACTGACCAAGGATGTGCATCATGTGGCACAAGGAGAATGGAAAGAGAGAGATCTGGGGGAAAGGGAGGAGACGGGAAGGAAAGAAGAGAGGAGAGGAGAGAAGGGGAGGGGAGGAACGGGGAGGGGAGAGCGGCACCTGCAAGTTTGCTTTTCATTACTGTGCTAGCAGCCCTGGAACTTGATTTCTGAGCTTGCTCTTGCTTTACATAAGCTGACTAATAGTGAAAATGACAGTGTCAGAAATAAAAGAGTGGAGTCCCAATAACTATTATCAAGTTCAGTCACATTCAAATTGTTGCATGCAAACTTTCAACTGACCCGGGTTCCTTCCTGTGAATATGATCTGTGTAATGATTATCAGAGTGGGAAGGAGTGACAGGGGTGCCATCAAATGCAACACGGTCAAGAATGCCTGTATTCATTGATTTAAAATAGTTCAAGTAGTTCAACAGTCTAAACTCTGTTGGCTCTCTGAAACAGGGTTGAGCTTGGGAGCCTGGGTGGTTTGAGAAAGCTCCCTGCTGCTGGTGTTCAGCCCCAGCTTACGGCAGGCTGGGGTGATGGGCCCAGAGGCAGCTGGGGGCTCTGGACTCACCCCAGCACTGGCCTTCACATGGCTCACTTGGGTGTTGAACTTCCAGATAGTCCCATGATCATCTGTGGTTTGCTATGCTGTTGACTAACACGATTTCTCAACAACAAAGACTCATCATGGGTTCTCTTCATAGTTAACGCAGCAAAACAGCTGACAGTTTAACAACTACCCATGCTCAACCTTGAGTGTTGGCCTGGTTCACACAATCACCACAGCTTAAATCATGGTTGGATTAAGCCACAACACATACTAGCTGCCATTTCCCGAATTCCTCACTTGGGTTCAGCTTGCCATGTGCTCAGCCATGCATGAGAAACCGCAACATGAGAAACCTCATGCAAGTGGGCAATTGAGGAAGCAGCCCCGTGACATGGCACCACTGACATGCTGTGGTGATGGTGCCAGCTGGTTACTGTGCCCGGAATTCTATTTTTCACACGACACTGAAGTGTGGCTTGTTTCAGGGAGCTTTACGCTGTGTGTTAACAGGCTATCTGTGCAGACTTCTACACATACCATTAGGCTATGCAGAGCTGCCCCTGCCTTTGAGTTCAGGAGGGGAGAAAGTTGTTTCAGCCTAATTGAGTTCTTTGCTTTGTTTTGGCAACTGATTGTCTTCTCATCTCGGGTTATTTTATTAGTTAATCACTGTCCTGCATGATATAAAGCAGCCAGCTACCATGGTTTGGATTGTTCATGCTTCTGGACTTAGGAGTAAATGCAAAGGCCAGCTTTTCCAGCAATAGTTAGGTTCAGTAAGGCAATTGACTAATGTCTCGCAGTGTATCCTAAGTAGTGTGGTGAAGTAAATTGCTCATGTGTCGTGGCAATTTACTTTTCTTTTTTTTTTTTTTTTGCCATTTATGATCTAATGAGGAGGATCTTATAAACTCTAGAGCTTTGCAGTGTCCCAGCACCACCAAGTGCAACTATTCTTGGATTGTTTTAAAATAACTGGTTAGAAAATTGCAACTGCTGGCAGAGTTTACCATATAATACATTTCCCAGCCTTTTATAGAAAAGAATAAACCTGGGGACCGTCTCGCTGTTTCGGTATAATGGTGCAGTAAGTTCTGGGGACCTTTACAACAATTGTAGCCATGAATGGCTCAGCTGCTTCATCAAAAGCCACTAGCTGATGTTTCAGTCAAGATCTGTCCATGGTATCATCCTTGTTCCGCTCCCCAGAAGGATTTGAAAGAAGGAGTAGATTTTATTAGCAGCATCCATCTGACTTACAGCAAAGTACAGCCGAACACTGTGTCTTTTCAGGTCCAGGCTTTGGGGAAATGGACATTCCAGCCTGGCTGGATCATATTTGGA